CCCCAAAACCCCAAAACCCCAAAACCCCGTGTGAATGTATTGAATAGTTTAAATTGGAGTTATGAAATTAAAATAATATCAATAAGTTGAGGATTTCATATTATATTTTTGGGCTCACAAATGGTAAACGTCCCTAAGTTATCCCAGTAGGCTTGATTGAAATGAGAATTGAAAATGAAGTGGTATTTGAAAGAGTCCTATCCGAATTCCTTGAGATTTGTGCAGTCTTAGACTCTAACATTGAAATCGACTATTAGTGGTATTCTCACTTGATATATCTTATCATCCCTTCTTCTAAATGGCAGTATATTTGGAGCATTTTCATGATCTAGTTTGTCCTCGTCATCTCTTTTCACTTTCTTGTTTCCTCTAAGTATCATAGTCATCTGATCAAACTATTCTGTGTCCTCCCTCTTTGGAGGTTATTTGTTTGCCTGATTCTAGACACCCCCTGCATTTGCATTGTTGCTTTTACCACTATTGCCTCTTTTTTTGCTTGCATCCTATTACTTAACCTCTTCAACAACCTGAGTGTGAGATTAAGGGAACTTAATGTTCTTGGTAAGCTTTTATGAAGTAAAACCCTCTTTATAAAGTTAATGCTTCTCCTGAACAGCCTATATTAGATTCTTTTCCTCATCATGGGTTATCTAAAACATACTCATCAAGTTTTATGAGCTTCTTGATTGTTTAATTTGTTTGTGTTCAGGTTCTGCAGCAATTCCAAATGAAGGCTTAGTAGCTATTGAAGATCTTCTGCTGACGAAGTCAGGTGATAGCGAGCGAGTTAAGTCCATTTCTTTCTTCTACTTTGTGATTGATCTTTCAAATCCAAGAATATTACTATTTTTCCCACTATTGCTATTAGTTCCTCCTCCTGGAGTTTGATTCTTTGCACTGCGCTCTTCTTTATTCACATGAGAAGACAATTTTTTCTTAGTAATAGTTCTAATGTTTAAAACTTAGCTAGAATTTTCACTTTGCAGTTTTTATTACTATCTTTATTAGGTAAGCTTTTAGAAGGTATTTTGCTTAACAAGAATCTGAGGCACCTTTGGATCTCGGTAGTTATTTTATTATCCAGACTAAGACATCCCTTAACCTTTGAAAAGTTCAGGATGGTCTTTGATAGCCTCTTCCATCTACTCTACGTCTTCAAAGTAGTAATAGCCTTTTTAAGATACTACAAATGGCAGTTATTGGCATTCTATCTTTATGTCAATTGAAGTGAAAACATCATTAGTTAGGTACTTTTATTGCTTATTACCAACAGTTGTGCTGCTAGAAAGCAAGTTGAATCTATCGTCTTTCTCCTCAATACTGAGACATATGGCAGGCATGGGGTATTCAAATACCCTGGTCTTCGCATCTTCTAAGAATCCATTAGTGAGATCGACTCTAGCTCCAATAAGTTTAATTCCGCAAATAAAGACTTTATGAATGATCGTTCCATTCTATTCATTATTAATCTTAATCATGTACTTCTGTATCTCTACTTATGAAACTCTACGGTCAAGGATCTGCGCCTTAAAGTTGAAGCTATTCAAATCAAAGTTCATAGCCTAGTCCTCGATACAGACACTCTTGAACAAATATCTAAATATCATTTGATTGAAGATATAGCCAGGCTTCATTAGTCTACTCAAGTCTATGAAGTTTGCCTGCTCATTAGCCCTATTAGTTACTAGTTAGACTAGGTAAGACATTCTTATTACTAGAGACTCCACCCATTCATTTAAAGTGATGTTCAATCGACATACACCAAAGCCGTTACTCATCCAGTTTGGCGGTACCACATTATTTAGTAAGCAGTTGTACAGGTTGATCAGGCCATGATTTAACCATTAAAACCTGCTTCCCTTAATGAAGTTCAAAAGCTCTTCTAATTCAGTCTTCATTAAGAAAATTAGTGCTCTAATGACAGGTATCTCGTGCGATATCTGAAGTTCAATCACATTCTTGTGCTAATACAGCTATTCCAGATTGGTTTATTAAGGTTTTTTCGATAACGTTCTTCTAGCGTCTTCTTCTATAGTTTCATATGACTCATCTTGATTATCGATTTCAATCTGCATATTTTTCTTCTTTTCCCCTGATTTGGAATCGACTTCAGATCCTTCAATAACTAGTCTTTTTGAATTGGACTTACTGTATTGAGATGACTCGAATGACTCTTCATGGATGACGTCGTTGTGATCTAAGTTGTTATTCGGACCAGGAAACAGATTGATCTTTTCAATGCTTGCTACCTACACACTCTGCTTCCCTGTTTTTGATTTGGAGGGTTCTACTAATAGACTCTCCTACTTGCTTGAAGATTCATTTATAGAGATTTATTTTCTAAGATAAGGCATGCCTCTAATGGCAACTGACTTCTCTTCTTCTTCAAACTTTTCCTAATTTATCTTTTTTTCAGAATCCTTTTTACTTGGTTTACGAGATGGTTACTTTTACCCTGGTTATGGGCTGTTCTAAGGATTAGAGTCATGAGTAGGCATAGGAGAAGGGCTTGAAACACTGCTGAATGAATCATCGAGTTCTTCCTTACTGATTGCAAGTAGATTTCCCGTAGAAACTTGATCCTTGCTCTGAACTCTTTGCATCAGCTTCTGTACAGTATTGCTTGTGAGAATCTGTGATTACCCTCTGTGTTAAGGTCCTCTTATATCAACCTTTAATCGACTCATTCTTTTGTTATCATTTGTAGGCTCTTCGTTATTGTCTCCATCTGCTCCATATTTATTTTCTATTTCTGGCTTCACCTCTAAGTTGGTATCACTTATCCTTTTTTCTACAGCTTAGTACTCTTGACTATGCACCTGCGATCTTCTAAAAGCCATCTTCTTGCGAGCATTAGCAGTCACCTTTTTCTCCTCTGTTTAATTATTATTTTGATTTCCTTCTTGGTGTGAGTTGCCTTATATTTGAATTTCACTGCTGGCTTTACTAGACACATAGTTCATCTCAGAAATAGTCTGACTTGTTTTACCGCCCTTGAGAGAATCTGAAATTTTTTCAGACACCCGTTTGCCCAATCCAGCTGCTGAAATTGGATCGTAGTCCTCAGGTGGTCGCTCTACATGTCTATCCAATCTTAGATTAGTCCTAGTAGGTTTTGCGAATGTTCTCCTACCTTCAAGTGGATGCGGCATTGTCAGTAACTACTCATTAAATAGACTGCTGCCACCATGGTTGGAAGTGTTGCTTTCAGGCTTTTGAAGTTTGATTGGGCTGGCTTGCTAGAGACCTCTATAGTTCTGGAATATATCTTCATCTAGAATGTTTATTTCTCGAGATTGGTATTGTTTTTATTCAATTATTTCATCTGATTCTCCTCCCTTCTTATTTTTGGAAGACTTAGGTCTTGAAGTCTGTTGTCTATTGACCTTTTTAGTAGCTTTTTATCTGCTAGATGACTGTCTAGGAGTGTAATCGAAGTACTTGTTAGTAATGATGCTCAGTATGTTCTCAGCTAGGTCCCTTACCTTGGTCATTTCTTGCATTGTCTTCATGTTTGTGTCCTTTTCCATACTAGTCTCCCCAGACTTCAGCTGGTTGTCTATTTAATCTTGAGCCTAATTTAGCATAATCGTTAATGAAATTAAGTTTACTTTGGGAGTTATAGAGTTTGCTTCCTTGATGTTTAGTGAGAAATGGTAATCATTCTCTTCAATCAAAGCTAGGTCCAAAATTGCATCGACTTGTGGATTGATGTCTAGCTTGGTTATATAGTTGTACTTTCTCTTTAGGTCTTATCTCTCCTCCTCAGTTTGTTTAGCGTTTTTGTACATCTGTCTTTTTACTGATTCACTTAAGAACTTCTGAACCTAGGAAAACACAATGAATTCTTTATGACTTCTGTTATCAATTGATTATGGACTATCAGAATTGTCCCTATAACTTTTGACTTCCGCTTCAATGGCTTTAATGTCTTCAGCATCCTTATCATTCTTAATATTCCACTCATTGTAGAGGACCTAGTCATTATAAATATCTGCTAATTTTCTTAAAAAAGACTGAGACTTGAAGTAGTTGCTCATTAGATCCTAATTAATAGTAGATCCTCTTACTGAATATAGATCTGTATCAGGCATGCAGTTTATTGCATCTTGCAACTCTTAGCCTGAGTAGAATTTGCCAAGAAGTATTTGATAGCAGTTTCGGTGAGTGGAGGTGCTCATTTATATCACATTAGCAGCGTTTTCATTCTGTGTATTGCAAAGCAGGGATTTAATCATGTATTTATATGTAGCCAAAGACTCGAATTTTATTAGTCTGTGTGAATCAACTGTTGAGAACTATGACTCCAAAGTATTTAAGATGAATTGAACTTAATGTCTGGGAGATTCAAAGAATGCCTTAAAGGTAAAGTCCATAGTTTACTCGACCATGTGCTGAAATGTAGTCATGCTGATGAGTTTCTGGCGGTTAAAGTAGAATTGATTGTTTAGAGACATTCCTGTGTGGCAAATGGCGTTCTTCTTAAGCAGTTGTAAAGCGCACATGAAATTCAAAATGTACCTGACTCTCATTTAGCTTCTCTCAAAGTCTTTAGCATGTTCTCTAATAATCTTAGAGAATTTATCACTAAGTATGGCTACTTGAGCCTGTGGGAAATTAGAGTCCTTTAATACTTAGTGCTTGTAGATACTTTATAGTTAGGCTGTTTGGTGATTAGATATTGTTGACGACGAACGCTTCAAAAGTGGCTTGATCATTCTTTTCACAGGTGACTTTGCATCTGTGAGAGAATTCAATTACTACTGTTGCTGCATCTCCATTTTCATCTAAAGCTATTGCTGTTTTTATTATTTATGCATCGCCTCTTTGGAAAGTAGAATCTCTTCGTGATGCATTCTTTCCATGTATCTCTTTATACTCTGCGGGTTGTTAAGATAAATAACTATGCTGTTTATGATTAAGAACTCTATTCCATGCTGTCTTCTAAGGTTCTTTGTCTGATATTCCTTTTGGTTTACTACTGCGCATCTATAACTCAAGAACACTTTAATTCTGCGGTTATTATGAATTCTTTATAGATCTAATAGTATCCTCACCAAGAACTTTTAATCTTCCCCTTACAGTTCATTGATGTTTTCAATGAGTAGAATCTTATCATCGCTAATCACATGATTAGATGAGTTGCTATTCAAAATACTCATTAGATTATGAACATCTTATTCTTTCTGCAGCAGATTTAATTGAGTCTTTTTTCTTGAAGGAGTATTATCCAGAAGCTAATTAGGGGATGGATTTATTGGGTTCAAAAGCTGTACCTTTTAGAGAGCTCTAGAATTCATGTAAGCTTCAAGGAAACCCTTAGCATCATAGGTAAAGAGTTCTTTATTGTGATGCTGACATAGAATCTTGATATACTTTGAAGGAGCAAAGGATTGATTCTCGTAGAACATAATAATTGGCTTGCGCACTAGATCCCTCTTCATTGTTATCTTGGTATTTAGAATGCCATAAGTGTCTTGGTCTTGTACAAAACTATTGTCTAGAACTAGCTGGATGAGATTAGAGGCTACTGACACCAGGCATTCTGGCTTTAAGCAATACACTACAAGCAACTTTTCAAAGGGCTTCAGAATAGTTACCCAGTCTCCTGGAAAATCATATTCACCCATCTTATCTTCAATAGAGTTGACTGGCTTCAACTCAGTCAAGAACTTCTCCCATTTCTTCTTATCATCGAGGATGGCTTTAATGAGACCCTGGAACTGCATTGGGAACTCTTGAACTAGGTTAATCAGCAGATCCCAGTTTTTGCGAGGAATGAAGGTTGGCCTTTAGTTTTGCAGATTCTTCAAGACATTTGGGTTGTTGATCAAAGTGCTCTTTTGGGCTTTGTAGGCCTGAGATTGTTTCTTTAGTCTGTTTATTTTACTGCCTTGACCTATCAATTGTCCCTTAGCTTGAGGCTTTTCAGCGTAGATATCTTTAATGATTCGCTCTGATCTGAAAAACTAGATTCCTTGCCTCTTATCTTATTCCACAATCATGTTGAGCTCGTCAGCTATGGATCTGTCGTCATTGTGCTTAAGTTTATTGCCTTCATAGGAGTTTTATGCATTGTTTTCCAAGTACTAAATCAGATCAAACTAGTTCACAAACTTAGCATGCTTTTGGTAAATAGGAGGAATCCAAGTCTATTCCTTGCTTATGCATTCATTCATGCTCCTCAGAGCATTTACTATAGGCTAGAAATCTAGGTTCTTAGTTGACTTCCTTCTTGACAAGTTCTCAATCTCACACTTATCTACACACCAATTTCTAAACTATTAATTCTTACTTTGAATCATGAACTTAATTTGCTTAACCAGCAGCTCTTTATTGTCGTCAAGTATCTGCCTCGCATAGAATTCAATTGTCAGGCAAAAGTTGAACAGCTGCAGATGATCTTCTCTCAGAACATGCTGAATCTTCTAAATGGCTTTCCTTAGTATCATGCTCAGCAGTTCCTTTTACTATGAATTACGATTAGCTAATGAGATTACATTTGTGCATTAGGACTTGCTTTGCTTGATGGAGAGGTCAAGAATGTGTCTGAACTGTATAAGTGAAAAGCCGTAAATATTGCCAATCTGTTTCTTGATCTTCTGCAGTGTCGAGAACACCACCTTCACACTGTGGATCAAATCATCGTACTCCTCAATGCTAAATGGTATCCTAAAATGCGTTACTTAATTGTGTGGCTTACTTTTGATCATGCTGGAATTCCTTCTCCTATTCCATTTCTTTTTCCTCCTCAATACTCTCGAAATCTCTGCTGGTGATCTAAGCCTTCTTGCTATCTCTTTCTTAGCTCAGAGGTCTGCTGTCAGTTTTTTGATTCAGCTAAACGCGAGTCATTGTTCTCCTTAGCTGCATAGACATTACTGATACCAAATTATTGTTTTAATCATCTTGATTAGTTAAAGAGGGACGATTGTTGCTGCTGTTGCTAGTCTGCATAAATTTACTCATAAAGCCTGCATTCGAACTTTGCGTATTCTTAGGGATCTTTATAGTCAGTTTAGACTGAACTCCCTTCAGTCCTAGAATGCCACCCGTAATAGCACTTGAAACACCAGAAATACTGTTCCTGTCTGATCTGTCTGTTCCATCGTGATAGTAAGACTATAAATATAATTGCAGCTAATTACTTACAGAGGATTTTCTGATTGATGCTCTTCTACTCTGCTTCTTAGATGCGCTACTTACTCTAGTCTCCTTAACCATTTCAGGGATCTTAATTTGCTTTTTACGTTTAAGCAAGGGAGAGGCCTCATGATCAAACATTGAACTGCCGTCATCGAACTTATGAGAATATATACTCATGTGTAGATCATCAAGTTATTGCTTAACCTTCAGTATCAGGTTATCTTATTCCTTTATCTATCTGTACTCCCAGGTCTCTCTAATGAATCTGCGAATACGTTTCTTGTCATCAGTAGCCTTAATAATGTACTCGTACTCATTAGTGCGTCTTTTCACAAACTACTTGAACATAGGGTCCAGATTTTTCCTAAGCACATTTTGAATATACATCTTCAGGACGTTGACACTTTGAGAGGACTATAGCTATTAGTTTATATTGAGGTCATAGTTAAACTTAATAAGCTTAGAGACAATCGAAGAGTCTAAGTTCTTCAAAGGATGCTTCTTGGTGAAGACTATGAACATGCGGAACTTTCGATGGACAGAGACTACTTCATGCGGATTAATTTAAAGTTAAGAGTTAAAATCACCATGATGGCCTTTGATCTTGTGCTGGAAAGCGTTGTAGATCCAATTTATTACTGGCTCTAGACTCCTTAGAGAGACATTGTCAATGTCTTTTAATACCAAATGATAGCCTCTGGTGATGCACTTTTTTATCTTCTTTGGAAGAGTATTTTCCTCTTGTTTTTCATTCTTGGCTTATTCTCTGATTAATATCTTATAAATGACTGTCTTTCGCCCGTCCTTTGCTTTGAACTAGTTAAGTTTGTTGCTTAAGAACTAGAATGCAATTTCGCCAGGATCGTATATCAAGGGCACTGGGCAAAGAATTTTGCATGAGACTTTTATCATGCCTATTGCAAATTGGAAATCATGATCACGGGGTATCATCGACAGCCGAGAACAGAGTTTTTTGATTTCCTCAAAAGAAAAGATAAAATTCATGACTTTTTCCCTATCAGCTGAAACCTTAAGTTCATGCTTGAATGATTCAAAAAGAGACATATTATTTAAGAACTGCTTGAACTGTTAAGGGAATCTTATAATCAATCCTATCTTCAAAGCTATAAAGAGTGATTCCCCTTCAAACAAAGAAGTTTCATTAATTGGATGTTCCAATATTTTGCTCCGCATCTATTGTATCAAAAGCGAAAATTCATCCTTGATATAATTTAGCATATTCAAACTTTTCTATTAAGCCAAAAGCCTTTCATCATTATCAGCAATATCTTATTTGCAAATGTCTAGTTTCTCGAGTAAATCAATCTTTTACAAAAGCATATCATGACTTTATCTTTAAATGACATCAAGTCTAGATAATATATCTTCGTAAGCCATCAATTAGTTTTCAAAAGCAGGGTTAAACAATAGCAAATTTTTGTTGTACTTATTAACTCCAAATTGATAAAGATCCTAGATGAAAAATCCAATGAATTTAGCGACCTTTGGAGAAGATTTGAGGAATGCGAAATTGCAATTAAATGACTCAATTTTTTCTAAAAGGGCTTTATTTTGAGGTCTCTCATTCTCTTCGACAACATACTACTCAATTTTTTCTTGAAGGAAAAATGGTTCCTCAAAATCTGTAACAAATTTCTTGAGTTAGACTGCCTCATCAAATTTAATAGACTTTTTAGAAAGTGTGTAATTTAGGGCAGTTGCCAAAATAATAAAGTTTTTGTTAGATCCCCGCTTTATGTTCTTAAAGAACTCTTCGTATTCAGACTGGTTTTAAAGTGATTTTATTAGCTTTTACTTTGTCTCTTCTATTTTTGAAATCTTCTGTCTATATTGGATCAGTCCTTCCTCTAGTTTTTTGTTTGCATCCATTTGCTTTAGTATCACATAGAGAGACATTTTTTCTAGATTCAACTTACTCTCTTTCTCAAATATCTCCTTCAGAGATTGCTTCAAAGATACCTTGTATTAGGCAAGATTAGATTGCTTCACTTTCAGATCATGGTCAATTATAAACACCTTCTTAGCATGCATTTCCTCCAGTATCTTGAACTTCTTGAGAAGCTAGATTACTGTACCTTTGTGCTTTTTCACCTTTTTGTAGTACATATCTCTTATTTAATTCTAGATGCCTACGATGAAAGTAGTAATCATTTCTTGATTGTCGAGTATGTCTGATATGATTGTATTCAAGTACTTCTAATCTGTGAATGTGCCCTTAAATACCTTCAACTTTGCATAAATACTGTTAAAAATTGGAAGATAGGTAGTGAACTTCTTGTCGCTTATGTGATTAAAAATAGGTTTCAAGGTAGGTAAAAATCTTGATTGATTCTGAATCATGTGCTCCTAATGATGCTAGTATTTAATGACCATTTCAACATTCGAATGCCAGCTGTCGAATTATAGTATCTGAGAGTATTTATATATCTGCGAGTAGCGATTCATAATTAACTCCAAGTAGTTGATGTCCTTTCTAAGATGACTGTAGTTTATATTAGTTAAGCTTCTCTCGTCTTTCATTGCAAAAACAAATCTAATGTTATCTTTGAGTCTTTGTATTATCAAATACTCTATCTAGTCCTCAGTCAAGTCTACAATTGATGGGGTCCCGCTTATGATACCTTGAGCAGTTGAACCATCATCTTACAACTGATTAACATCTCTGAGCTTTCTGCTGAATCGCTTTAAATCTTTGGTGTTGATAATCAGATGATTTCTTTGTCCGCTAATGATGGAAGACACAAGCTGAAGGATTTCATTTAACTAGGACATATATGTGGTATCTTCAGTTGAATGATGATTTAGTCTATAAGTGTCGAAGATAAACGTGACTACGATGGAGTTGTTCTTGATTATTGCCTATACACATGCTCTCTTGAAATTTTCCCAGAACTCTTTCATTTTCAAGTGCTTTTTGGACGCTTTGAATATGAAGTGAGGCATTTTTAGACTTTTAGTTGCTTACTTGACACAGAACTTTATCATTCTAAGTGGAGTCTTCCTCGACTCAGATTTGTTCAGTGAACCTCCGCAGTTCAATAGAATGTTCTTAGTAGTGTTGCTGAGTTGGAATAGGAATGTCAGTTGTAGGATCAGTTTAACGATATTGTCATACATTGTGGGTGGCTGCATCTGAATTTCTAAGGGAGTTATATCGTAGTGAGTGGATAGCATGTCTTGGGTTTAACGCTTGAAATACTAAACAGTTGTTAATATAGAGATAACTTACCTCCTGAACATTTTCAATATCTAGTTCATTATTGATTTTTCTGTACAAGTCAGTAGTCATCTCATCAGTAATACTGGTGTTGAAAGTATGCTTTTTCCTGAATTAAGGACTCAGAGCTAGATTCTTGTTCATGTTGTTCTTTTACTTGCAGCCATTGTAATTGAATTGGAAATCTGACATGTACTCTGATTCATCCTATGTTAAAATCATTTAGTTAATGTTTAAATAATGTTGTGTGAATTTATGAAATTAAGATTACCCCACTATTAGAATCGTCATCCGATAGGATTGATATGCTAGAATCAGTTATATTCTGTTGAGACAGATTTTCTTATACAGCAGGAGCTAAATTCTTAAGTGCATCTCTCCTTCCAATTCTAGATACAGATAGTTCACTGGAAGTTTTGAGACTGGCTTTGATATCTTTCAATTTGGTCTTGGGAATAGGCGACATCACCAGTGATTGCACATTTTTTTAATGTCCACTGATTAAATTGAGCTCAGGGCCGCAAGACAATTTAGTCGCGGTTGCTCCGACATAAGGCAAGTTTTTGTTTGATTGGCTGATACTATTGATATCATCTCCAAACTTAGAGGCTTAGATAATAAGGTTAGTCATTTTTCTTGCGTCTGAGGGAGTTGATATGTCTTTGTTTATTTGATTTATTAGGTTTTAAGGAGTTTCTTCGCTGCTCACTGAAGATGCTCCACTAGAGGCGTGTGAAAGTAGCTTGATCTTTGCCTCATATAACTTTGGATTAAACAGTATTATTTAGATTTCTGAGAAGCTACTTTTGTAGTATTGCAAATTAAGAGCTCTTTTGGCTTCTTCGATGTAGTTCAAGAAAGCAGAGAGATGAATTTTAATTGCTTCGACGAAATTGAGAGAATGATCAGTCTGGTTAGCTCGATATCTAAACTTTCTAATACCTCCACCCAATTTTATGATAGCTCTTGACTCTTTAGGACCCTTGTTATTGACATCATAGAAATCATGTTCATTTTACTGCTCATCACTAGAATCTTCAACTTTGTGATCGACACTGCTCTCCTCGTCGCTCTGCTAAGCTTCGCTCCCTTTGGAATCACTTGATTTTTCTACACTCTTTACTGGACTAGATGAAGATGAGGACTCTGAAATCTCATACATAGGTATCTGCAATTGATCTTTCTCCAATGACTACTTCTATTGGCTGTTCACTACTTCATTCAATATCTCCTTTTTGGTGTTTGGATTGCCTTTGCCCCCAGAGTCTTTAGCCATTGAAGGCATATACCCACTTCTACGGCCTAATTTCGTTTTATCTTAGCCTAATAGAGGGATGATTTGATCTCTGTTCACAACTTAAGATTTTTTCAATTGCTAGTTTAGATCCTTTAACATGGGTCTCTTGCTAGTACCTATGCCGATCAATTGCTTTTGGACCATTATTGAGCCACGGGGCTTTTTAGATTTTTTCTAATCATCCTCTGATTGGACATCATCTGGTGGTTTATCTGGACTTCCTGACTTTAAATGTGAATTCTCCTCTTCATCGTCATCTTCTTCAAGAAGACTATTAGTTGGATCGGTGTCATTTTACTTGTTGCCTTTATTTTTGCAATCCTCATCTGAATCTAAAAGAGAGTCAGTAGAAAATCTTTCAGAATTTTTCCCAAGAAAACCAGATTTACCAAGATCAGGTGAAGATGGATTCTTATCGATTTCTGAATTGGTGATATTGTCAAAGGAGTCTTCCTCAATTATATTTGGATTTTCAATTTCAAATTTCTTTGCTAACTGACCTTTGTCTGCTAAAAGTTTAAGTGTTTCAATTTTGTTGAGTTGCTATCTTAGCTTGATTTGAGGAGTTGAAATATCAATGAACTTGGTGAAGTCTACGAAAGGGTAAATGCTTATTAAGTGCATGCTAAGTTGGTTAATCCACAACTTGAATACCTCTTCATCAGAGCTGAAGTCACTCCAAGCAATGTTTTAGAAGTTCAGCAAGAACTCTCCAGCTTTGCACAAGTTGAAGTTTAAGCCAAACAGTTTAGAGTCCAAATGAAACCTCGAGAAGTTCTGGAAATACCAGTCAGCGTATGTTCTCACAAGCGTTCTCATTGATCTGTCATCCTCGTGAATGTCTATGTTTGAAAACAAAGTCTTCTTGAATATCTTTCTGATTTGATGCTGACTCATTGCATCCATCCTAATTGGAAGCATATGTCTTTGCGTTCTTTCCGAGAACCCAGGCACCCACTGGAATGTCTCTTGCTGCATAGGCCCGTCCTCTGATGACTGAATGTAAGTGTAGCCGCCGATGAAGCTTAGGTTGCTGAAATAGTAGAATCTCTGATTTTGCTTTTGATACCAGCCATTGAAGGAGGCGTAATCTCTGATTATCTCTGCTGGTGACTGGACATCATACTCCTGAGATATCTTAGACAGGTTAAGGTCATCAATGAATAAGATCGTGGGCTGCTTTGAAGGTGGTGCGAATGAACCATTCTTCTAAAGAATCATATTGCTCTCAATCAGCATGTGCAGATCATCCAGAGTAGTGGACTGCTGAATAGAAGAGCTTAAATATCTAGGCATGCCTTTTTCGTTCTAGTTCTTCTGCTTTACATCTGAGTTTATCATAAATCGAATTAGCTTAGACTTCCCACAAGATACTGGACCACAGACTAAGATGTCTTTTCTAAAGGCGACGAAGAGCTTCAAATAGTACAAAGCCTTCTTTGTTTACTCATCATGGACAAATATGAATTCATTTTTGCTGTCTAGGATATTTATGTGAGTATCCTCAAGACTGAGTCCTGATTTCTTGCCTTTCAACTTCTTTCTAAATCCCTTATTCAGTCTAAGCTGCTCCAGATAGTTGAACTGGTGCTTATTAGGCACAAACTTACCGCTGTTAAAGAACTTCTCCTGAATCTTGACCTTTTTATTCCATTGACGCCACTTGCCTGACTAGTAATCGTAAAAGTTGTTGAACACATTATCGCATTCTCTGATTTACTTAAGCTGTTGCTGGTAAAGATTCATAAGGTTATAGTCTCTATACTAGGCTTTCTAAGTGTCACCTTGAACATGAAAAGGAAATGGAAATTTCTTGATCATTGGTTTTAGGAACTTCTCAGATATCAATCTCTAGCCTTTGAGGTTCAGTATGCTTCCAAACACTCCAATGACAGCTTCAATGAAGTAACTGAATAGCTCGATTGGGTTCTATTCCTTGAATCTTTTTTCAATGTTTTACTCAACGAAGTCGTGTACAAATGAGGGTTTTCTGTTAGTTCCCTAAAGATGATACTTGCTAGCATTACTTGCTCTATTTGGTGAAGCTAGGTTTTACTTGCTGAACTGAGAAAAATTGGCGTTCCCTCCTAGGTTGCTGCCACTTACGCCTGGCTATGGTGCTTTCCTTGAATGTTAAACTGAGAGTGTTGGCAAGGAGTAAACCGATTGATTATCTCTTTGAGAGTTCCCACCTCCACTTCTGTCGGCTAGAGCAGCAGCCCCAAGGTTTTACTTTGCAAAGCTCTTCAGATTAGAACTCTACTGATTTTAGATAGTTGAACTTATTGAGAGCTTTGATCCATATCTGTACAAGATATTATCATAGGAAGCTCTGTTGTTAATTATTAGCAGTTTCAGGTATTCATCCATTAAAATATCAAAGTATGTGATGAAGTGATTAGCTATCGTCTTATGAGACTACTTCATTATCATGAGATTCTATATTAATTTAAGATGAGCTATGCTTACGTTCTGTTTGCTAATATAGTCAAATATTCTGCTGACTGACTCCTCGTATAACGAGACCATTTCATTGCTGCTGATCTTAAAGAAGGGACTAAAGCTGTGCTTGATATAGTTAATCCACAATTCCTTAGTGTTAATGTCATCTTCGTCTATGTTGACAATCGGTATCCTCGAAACTACAGAGGGATTAGAGTGAGCTATGCTGTCAGTCTCTATTATTATCTTCAAGTGTCTAGGCAACTCATTGATATCACCATTGGATTTGTATATGAATTTCTAAATAATAAATCAAATTTAAACTTACAGTCTCTTAAAAGGAACCTTCAACCAAAGGCAATAGTTTCTCAATCCAGCCTATTGTTATCATGTGTTGGCTGTTATTTGACAAATTACCGTCGAATATAATCCAGTCGCGCTCAGTGTAGCTGAGTATCTTAGTTACATTCAAATCACTTTCCCCAGTTGTAGTCTAGTTATTTCCTCTGCTACCTCCCTTGGCTGAAGACATGCTTGGTTATCTATTTGCTCCACCTTGATTAGTCTGACTCTGGGAATTGGAGTTACTGCCAGGGTTAATATGCTAAGGCAAATTAGACCTTTGGTTTCTAAAGTTAATTGATTTCTAGCGCCCTCTTTAGTCTTAAGTTGATTATACTTCGCTGAACCACATTGAATGAACAGACATAAGTCTACCTCTATTGTCACTTAATTAAGGATAGTAAGCGCCTTAGAGTCTTTTAGAGTTCAAAGCAAAGACCTTAGTAATGTTCTCTGAACAGAAATGACTGTTAGAAATGTATCCTGAATTAGAAGCGCATGCATTTATAATTGATAAAGCGACTCCGTCCTTCAAAGTCTCACTGTTACTTTGGTCATTAGATTCATATTGATTATTCGTGACATTATTCTGAGAAAGCCAAAGTCTGCCTTAAGGCATTGAATCAGCATTAATATAGTGCAGATTGAAGTCCTTCTCATTTAGCATCGATATGTAGAACACTTTAGCTATCGTCTGAATGAACTTAGTCTTTCCCGACCCTGGTGGTCCTACTATTAGCAAACTCCTGGATTTCTCATTAACTGGTGCATTCAATATTGAGAACTCCTCCTTGAATAAGTGCTGAGTGTTGCAAAGTCTGAGGACTGCATTTATGTATTTCTGGATTAGTATCTTATTGTTGATTTGCTTGAAGTCAGCAACAACCCGATTGACTGAATCGTGAATCATCTCTTCCAGCTGAGTCAGGTTTTCATCCTCTTATGAAACTTTTATAGATTCCTCATCCTCTACGTTCAACTTCAAGCCTGGATTGCTTTCCTCACTAAGACTCCTTGTCTTTTGGTATTTCAAGTTCTACTGCTATTGCTGCTATTACTGCTAGACTTTTGGATCAACAAATGTCCCAAAGATATTTCTGATTAACTCAGAATGCAAGGGATAGAGTTCAGATAGAACTTTACTTGTAAGTTGCTCTGAAGACTGCTCAAAGTTTGACTTTTGATTCTAATGCTTGATATAGTTAATAGCTTCTTTGATATGTCCAATGTAGTCAATACTGCCTATTTAGAGGAAAAATAGCATTAACTGCTGGGTCAGTTTATCTTAATGCTTTATGCCTGCAGCCTAGAATAGATAGGATATGATGACTTTAGTGTCAGGTTTGAGGAGATAGGTAACTCTGAAGTGTCTATGATTTCCAAGACTTTCAAGATTGATAGCTCTCAGGTCTTCAGCCGATTCAAACAAATTCCTGTCTCTGGGTAACTCGTTGTTATAAGTGTACGTCATAAATATACTAAAGGTCCTCCTAGTAGTAGGTTACTGCTTGTTATTAGTATTAAGCAGTGAAATTATCTCATCCTCAATGAAGATGTTATGTGATTACTTGAAAATGGCTTCTCTTATTATGCTAATATTGTGAATGAGTTATGACAGTAGTTCCCTCTGTAATTAGTTCACATCATCTAGACACATTATGCATCCACTTGCCACAGTGCCTTTAATGATCCTAGAAATACACTGGTAAGTGAAGCTACCTCCTCTGCACGGCCAAATGTAGTACTTCTAGCCGAGTGTGGTGAATAGATTGATCATAGTTTCAGTTTTGCCAGTGCCTGAGTTTCCAACTATTAATCCACATTAGTTAGATGTCAGGGCTTGAAGCATGTGCAAATTTACTCTTTCAGTTATAGGAGTCAGAATGAAACTTTCAGCCTAGCATTGCTGATCAAAGGGATTAAGCTCATAGCCATATTAGTTGGAAGTATTCATAGTGTACGCATGAATGTCAAATGAATTTATCATGCCTTGCTGGGATTTATTCCTCTTCAAATACTTGTAAAGTTGAGTTTAAACGAATCCTTAGTTAGATCCAATGATATTCTAGTCCTCTGAGTGAGATGATTCCGAATCTTCTTGGGAGTCTTTGGAGTAGACATCCTTTCCTAACTCCATGTTTCTGTAAAATTTGTACTTGTTATAGTCAAAGCCAATCTTCCTCTTCTCTTGACTTAGCTCTGAATCAAATGGATGGACCAGATTTTACTCACTCATTTGCATTATGTTGTTCACTAAATTAAGTTACTGAAGATGTTATCTCTCTTCAGCATCAGATGAGTCAAGCTTGATGTTAAACATATCCTGCACTCTGACATTACTAGTGTAGGTCTATCCCCCACTCATGGCTTTTGTCCACCTATTTTCCTCATCTCCTTGGTAGTCGTCATTAAAGATTCCAGGCTTGAATATAATCTTGAACTTGATCATGCTTAGATATTCATATGACTGCACATTCAGCACATTATCCTTGATCTTCCCTTTGATAAAGTCAACTTTATCTCTCTGATTCAAAGTCAAGATTAGCATGTTTTCAAGTTTGACTAGATGCAAGTACTGTATCTTCTGCAAATCCTATGCCTTATACTCGTCATTCTCGATGCTATTCATCTTAGGCAGTTTGAAGTCCTTGCGGCTAAGCTTGCTCTTACTATTCATTGCTTAAAGATCCTTTTGCATATCTGTCTGTGGAGAGCGATGCTCTCTTTGAGATCTCAAAGCATCTCCCCCATTCGATCCTTAAAGCATATTCTGTCTCGGTTCATTCCTAATGAGAGGACTCTCAAATTTCTTCATTAGTAACTCACTCTAAAGATCCTTGTTCAAAGTCAGATTTACTCCCTTGATGTGCTTATCTATGCTCAATTAATGTGCATTTCCATCATTTTCATTGGGATCTTCCTCAATATCATCATTAATTTCCAGTTTTAGTTTGTTATTTTATAATTTTCTGGTGTTTATTGTCTGCTGATAAGGATCATGTCTCTTGATGTCTTTGACATGCTTTCTCAGTCGAAGTGATAGTGACTCAACTTAGTTTTGCAAGTACAGTTCGTACTTTCTGAACTGCTTAGCTGTGTTCTGTTTCTACTATACTACCTCTTCTTCAGTTATCTTTGGATTAGAGCCATAGTATAATGCCGGTATGTCATAGTGAAATTTGATATTCATGCAAAGAGCCCATATTTAATAAGGAATATCAAGAGAAAGCTGGTCACCTAGGAGTTTGTTTGCGACCAGATAGCTCAAAACATCTGACTTCATCTATTACTTTATGTTATTTTCTAGTTCAATGAGAAAAGATCCTAGTTAATCAGCATTGTTCGCACTGCTTATATTCATCGGCTTGTCAAATCTAAAGTTTTCTCCAAGAGATGAGATGTGAACACCTAAGATGCTGTTTTTATCTCCTAGAATGAAAGAGCTTATGCCTTTGTAGCACTTGGTGAAGAGCTTTGAAATCCTCTATTATAGGGTTAAGTTATGAAATTAAGATTAAAGTTACTATAAAGTCATCTTTGTGATATATAATGTTAAGAAGATCTTCGTCAGAAAGGAAATAGCATCTTGGCATTTAGCCTCTTTTCATGTTAAGGTACTCTCGAAGACTCTTGAATATGTCTTTTGCCTTTTCATCTAGCTTTGAAAACTTCTCATATACCATCTTGGAGGACTGACTCATAATGTTGTTATTCTAATATAATCGTTATCCAAAAGCAGATATAAATTACCTAAGCCATTTACTCCATCACTTTCTTGAAGCTATTACTAAACTTATCATACTCTACATATACCTTTTTCATCACAGTTTTTATCTCCTATATTGTTATATTATACATCCAATGAAACCTACTTATATCTAGAAAGCCTTAAATAATGCTAGCCATTATCTCTAGACACTGCCAATCTTTATCAGAGTTTTTGAAAATAGCTTAAGTTTCCTGCGAATATTTTAAAGTTTTCTTGTCACAGTGGAGAACTTCCTTCTATTTTTAAGTATAATGGAGCTACTATAGTTATGATCTAGGAGCTTAGCACTCAATTCCTCTGGTTCACATAGTATAGGGGTGTAGCCATCACCAGGATGAGTTTCGAATCTGAACTCTAAATTTCTCAATTCATCTTCAATAATTTATAGTGTTTATTCTTCCTCGAATTCAACTTAGGCAGTGGAAGTTATATCCTTAATCACATTTAAGTGAGAGAGTACATGTGCTTGCAGTAAGTCTTCTAAAGATGTCTATTCAGGCGCAAGCGTTACTTGATCATATATGCTATTGCTGGGATATAAGGTATTTTGCAGGATTTTCCAATGCTTTGGCTTAATAAAATGACTCATCAAAGACAGCAGAATAGGAATTGAAGTGGAATTGCAGTCCTGCATCTCTTAATTTAGCTGGTCCAGAACCTTCATTATGCTATCAATCAGTACTAATTGAGTGTTGGCTCTGAGCTCATCCTCGACTTTCATGAATTTCTAGAGCAGATCCTAAATCTCTTCAATGTCTAGCTTGTCAAACTTTGACATGTACCATCTATCTTTCTCATACCGCCAGTTTGAAATCAACTCCCACATATGGAATAATGGCTCTATCCAAGTGCTAAGATAGATGAGCTAGTCAAATCTCTCAACCTAGTCGATTTTCAGGAATTCTTATTGATACACTAGCTAGCCTGCTCTGTCTGAGTAGTTTTCAATCATTTCCTTCATATCATTGATATACTTATTCTGCTCTTGAAACTTGATTCCATCATCTATTGACTCCACTTTTATCAGCTGTTCCATCATTTTGATCATAGCATCCAACTCGCTATCTAACTCTCTAGCCTCTTTTTAAACCTGAGTCTTGAACTTGCCTTTAGAAAGCAGCATTTCAGTGATCATCAACTATCTCTTCACCTCAAGCATATTCGGCACTTCAAAGTTGTTAAAGTATTCGTAAATCTAAGCCACATCAAACATGATTCTTAGATCTGTAAGTGCCTTCTCCAACAACTTGGAGTTCTGTATTCTTTGCTTAATCTGTTTTATCTGTGACTCATATTCACCTTGTCTTGAAACTTATGGCTGATAAGATTATAGCTATTACTACGAAGTTGAAAGATCTGGGTTCTAGTTGTTAGATGATTAGTTGTCTATTGATTGTTAGAGTTAGAGTTCAATTCTCATTGTTTAATTTGTAAGAGGTGACTCATAGTTTTCTAGCTCAATGTTAGAGGGTTTAATCAAATCATTTTTAGAGTCTCTCAAGAAAACCATCATGTCTATAAATTCTATGATGTTGTGTGGTTTTTGACTCAGCTTTTTGCGAATGGCTCTGCATTCTGAGTCGATGCCTCGAATTTCACTAGTAAATTTGTTCTTTAGTAAACTGCACATCTTATCTCTTAGCTTTGTTCCTTTCTTGAGTAAGTATACCTTAAGGTTCTTAAAGTCTATTTAGAACATGCCTTACACATATTCATTTGGCAGTTTCAACTGAATATCTTGGAGATCCTACTCAATTCTTCTGATCTCGTTAATTACGATTGGAAAGTGAGAAATATCTATCAGTTTCTCAATACTTTGTAAGTATCCCAAGTCTTTGTAAAGCACGAAGTACTCGTATTCACTAAGTATGATTATGAATGCTAAGAAGGGCAAGAAATTAGCTTGCATCATTAGTGACATCACTTCTGATACTTCACTATATAGCATTTTAGCTGTTTTTACTTGTAGTTTACCTTCCCTCTTGACTTCGCTATTCTTTAGATAGTATAATTTTGCATCCTCCTATGTAAAAGTTAGTATATCGGAGTCGAATAGATTGATCTAATCTAGGAGTTTAATCTTCTTAAGAGGGTCCTTGAAAAGTTGAATGAACTCTCTGAACATTTCATCTTTTATATCTGGAGTAATCATAAACTCTGAAAGATCGAACTCAAAGTAACCTAATTCTTTTTTGAGATTCTTGAAGTGCTGTCTATTTTTATGGAGATCATCATTTTCTTTTTAAGGTGTATTTTTTCTATACCTTGATGGTGTAGAGATAACGAAGCCAGCATCAGACTTAACATATTGCTCCAAAAGCGATTCAAGGTTATACAAGGGATCTTTGTCAAACAGAAAGGCTATTTTTTCAGCTAACCCTGAACCATTATCGTTTTAGACATCTTAGAGATTCCTTTAGATCTGCTTTTTAATGTTATTAACTTTGAGATCTCTGAGAGCTGATCTAGTAAATGGCTGTTTTTTATCTTTATGGTTGTGATATTTTTACTTAACTATTTTCCTAACTACGTACTCGCATTGAACGAAAGGAATGATTCCAGTGTAGAACACACTCATACTCTTCATTTATAGTTTTTAGTGTAAAATTGTCTGCGTGATCCACTCTCTTTGATACTTTTCATCTTTCATTTGATATCGTAAATCCAATATCTGTTAATGCAATCTATCCCTCATACTTTTGACAGCCTTGAGAGATGGGTCTATTCCTCCCACAGCCACATTTCTAAAGTTGAAATTCAAACTTATTCTCTAAATATCTCTTAGCTGATTGTCTATACCACTTCTTTACCTAAGCAGTATACCACTATCGCTGTGCTTTAAATTTTCATCGTCAATCTCATCTTTACCATGCTGCATGATCATTTCATATTGCTTTTCACTGATAAATTTTAACATGACCTTGCCCAGTCTCAAGTAAGATTCTTTAAGTGAGACTCTCAAATTAGATTCTAGAATTATGTTCAGTAGTTTGACGTTGTAAATGTATCTGTGCTTCAGATCTGTCATAATGGTTCGTAATTGACTTAGCTATTCTGAATTTAGATGCTTCAATTTAGAGGACTTGAAGAATTCCTGCTGCTTAATATGCCTTTGACAGTTCTACTTGTAAAGTTGAAGCAGCTCTTAGGTAAGCTTATATTCATCCATGATTACTTGTTCATTTCCTTAATTATCTTGATTATCTTCCAGGGCATCTAAGATTTCTTGTTTGTGATTTTCTACTTTTTCAAATTGTTAAGTTATTTTGTGATGGAGGTTAAGCTCATCAATTATGTTAACATTCTCAAACACATTGTATTCTTTAAGTATTTGCTTCAGCTCTTCATTAATAAGTGTGACCATTGACTAATTGGCTTATTTAATCAAATTTTTTATGAACTTCACTTCACTTAGATATGCACTATAAAACTTTTCCTAGAACGTAGTAAACTTCAAGGGCAGCATATCTTACTGCTAAGAGTCTACCTTGGGTGCCAGTGCTATCGTGAAAAAAGGTCTGAATAGAGGTCTTTATACATCATTCTCTATCTATTTGATTAGTGCTAGATATTTGATGGTGAATAGCTTGTTTTATGAGGGGAACATCTAGATTATCTTATGTTTTGCCTCATTAAATCTCTGGTACAAGAAGCCATGCAATTATACTTGAGCTTGAGTATTGATTGAAGCTTTGCTCTGTAGATTAGGTATGGGCAAAACATTTTCAGATTCTATCTCTTCCTTGTAAACTAAGTATTCTAATTGATTCAAAGTTTCACTTGGCATTAGAGAAGATCTGAGTTTCTTAAGCTTTTTCTATAGAAATGCAGTTGACTAGTCAAATGTTAATTCAAGTCCATTTTCACAATCGAATTCATACTTATAAACCTAAAATCTGTATATGTCTTCTATCTCTGTTTTAGAACTTTCCAAGGTTTCATCTCCTACTTTAATTTTCTTATAGATCTATTCCATGTGCAATAGCAGTCTTTAATAGAGACTTTGAGGATTTAGAGTTATCTTCTGAAAAATAAGTTAGGTGTTGTCTTTGTTATATTAATTTGGCTCGAAGATTGAGTGAGCCTTAATGATATCGTATTTATTCTCCTTTTATGCGATGAATTTATTGATCTTTTTGATATACTTAATGACACTCAAATAAATCTCTCTAAGCTCTGAAGCCAAACGTCTTCTCTTAAGAAACTATTCCATATCCTCCAAATCTTCAAAAATCAAATTAAGCCTTGAGACATTCTTAACTATATCCTCTCCTTCAGTACTTTAAAACTGTATCTTTAATTTGTGTAGCTACTACGAATGATCAATCTATAACAACTAGCATCTTTGCCAATTCCAAGTTTACTTCACTGTGTCTAGTACGAGAGTGAGTGTATTAGTTTTTCCTAGTTATATCTTCAAGTCTTTATCCATATTTTAGCAAACATCAAAGTACTCCATAGGAATCATGTTACGCTTTTCATCTTGGTCTGGAGGCAAATAGTATAGGTTGCGGTCCAATTCATCAGCAATCTCAATGTCCATATCTTTGAAGAATTTCTTGAGCTCCTTGCGAGGCTTAAAGACTCTTAGCTTTGTTTCTTGGGAACGCTTTGAATCTTTCAAATTTCTCATTGACTAAGAGCTAGTTAAGTTGAATGCTGCAATGCTTGTACCATGCTATTTCTAAGATCTATTTCTGGTTTTTTGCTAGAGTTTATATACATTATGCTGTAGACTTTACTCTTCCAAGTCATCCAACAAGCTTTCAGCTGGTTTAGAATTAGGAGATAGCAAATTCAATTTAATTAGAGTATTCCTCAGCGTTTTGTCCTTTTTGACACCTTTTTGATGTCCACTCTCGCCTATTTTATCTATGATATTGGCTAGGAGATCTTGAGTTTTTACTTTAAGTTTCTATGATTCAAATTGATGTTGAAAATTTAGGTTCTTCAAGTATGTCTGCTCAAGTGATGGCATGAATTTCTACAAGGTTTAATTTGCTGAAGATTAAGTCATGTTTGGATTCTGAGTGAGAGGTGTAGCAACTGAAGGCAGTTTCATGTGCGAAGTGCTTATTCTGTAGCTATGTGTAGGTCTCTATTGCTACGAGCTTGAGTGAGGACTTATTAAGATAGACTATTATTGAATGCCTGACATCTTAAATCCTTGAAAAGTCTACCTCATATTGATAAATCCAGGAAGTTAGTCTTGAGACTAAGTGTTCACAATTTGTGACCCAGTGAACTAAAACCTACTCTATTACTGTGACATACTCTAAAGCACAATTAATTGCAATAGTTTTAATTACTTATCTAAGACTGCTTTGGCTTTAGGAGTTTTGAAGAAACTTTACCCTTGGGTACTGCCTGCTTTAAACTAGCTTGATTTTTTCATTTTTCCAGATTGAGGATCCATTAATACTTTGCTTATCTATCATTTGCTACTGCTATAATTGTATCGTAGTCTATTCATCTTCAGCATATGTCTCTACTTTGATTTTCATATCTTCTTATGTGTTTTGCCTATAAGCATGAATGTTAGTGATGAGTACGAGATAAGGCTATCTTTGATGGATTAGTTGGTGAAGTTTCTGGAATCCTGATGGTGTTGCTGACTTGCAGCAGTGTTCCGCCCTTTCACATGCACTGCTGTCACAAAATTGAATTTCTCTCCTCTGAATTTATTAGATATATATTGGAATTTACAAAGGTGGGGATGACGGTATTCTCTGATGCGACTAAAAAACTCCAGATTGAGGCCTGGAAGTAACTTATATCTAAGCATCCCTTCTCTAATCCTATTCATTGAACTAGAGGGGTAATTAGATCTTTTTATCCATTTTAAAAATAATTATATTAATCATTAGGCTCAATTGATTTTAAATTAACTTTAATCATTAATCTTAGTATTCTATTCGCTCTAAAATCTGAGTTTAGATTCTTCAATTGAAACTAGGTACTCTGTTGATTTGCTTCAACCGGGCTGCTTCATTTCTAACTTTTTAGACCTAGCCAATGATATCCATTACTGAGTACTGCTTGGTCTGTCTGAATTGTCTCTGATTTTCCTCTCTAATGCACTGCTCGTCAATTTATTTCCCTATAAATTAATAATTATCATGGATGTATCAGGAAATATATCCTGCAGCATATTAAAGATAATTTTAATTTTTACAAATAGCTGTTGTTTTAAATATCTTTTTGTACATAAAATCCTCGGTCACTTACTTAAGATAAATTAATCAGAGTACCTATCGCTATGCTCAAACATCCTGAGCTTCCTCTGAACATTTTTCTCGTGTCTCTGAGTTATCATTTAGTCATATTCTTTGAATCTTGGTTGAGTGCTGAGTTATACTCCAGATAATCTAGATTGCTGCTTTTAATGAGTAGTGGTATTTATGATGGTGTTAAACTTGTTGTTGAAGGCTTGATGTTGTCTTGATTTATGGGGACTGTTGCTATTAGACTCAGTTGTACTGATAATGTTGAAGGAGAAGATCAATGAAGGGTCTTGAGGGGTCAGTGCTTCTGGAAGTGACTATCTTTATCTCAAATGCTAGCGAATGCTTGCTCTATTGGTATTCATAGCTGTTGTGATGTTCGAAGTTGAATTTCTTATTGAGTCTATTGGTAGATTCGTTAATTGAGTTGTATTCTGAATTTTAGGGGTAAAGATTTGGAACCTCTGTGTGTTCTTCGATTCAGGTGAAGGCACATCAGAGGTTAGTACGGACAAGTTCAAATTCTTGTAAGTTTTCTCTCTGGTGAGTGAAGGTGCTGCTGTCTGCGCTTATCTCTCATAATCTACATACACTCCTTTGAGCGGTTTCTTAGTTAGGTTACTGCCATCTATCTCATATGCCCCAAGTGGTGGAATTTACTCTTCCTTCTAGATTGACTAGCGCCTTGAATATCCGTACTTCTGTCTATCCCTAAGTTAAGACTTTGAAATCTTAAATATGCCATTTACTGGCTGCATGTCCTCTATCTTCTATTTTAGCATTCGAATATGCTCAAGCAAATTTTGTTTAGCAAGGATGTGCATTGATTTGTAGTTAGTGGAGTTTATGAAATCTCCGACTTATTTCTCAACAATTGGCTTATCATCAGGATTCCTTCTGTCGTGAATTTGCCGCAAATCCTCTATTTTCTTCAGCAGGCCTTTACTAAGGATTCTTGTCAAAGGATTTTCAAAACTCAAATTAGGTCTTGGTGTTCGCAATTTAAAGGGAGGCGAGTATGTTGTTTTGTTTTTCTAGTCGTTCGAGATGTAATCTGTTAAATGTACTAATTTCTCTATATCCTCTGGTTTCTAATTCAGTTTCTCAATCTCACGCAATGTCCCAGATATCAGTTAAATCTGGCAATTATCGATATACTACTGAGCTTTAGCGTTGATTATTTTTCCTTGCATCAAGTATTTACCCTGTTGGAACTCATTTAGAGGACTCTCCGACATCAATATTTTCTTATCAATTATGTCGTTAGCTGAGAATACTCTGTGTAGTTTGAATGTTTTACTGTATGTTTATTTTAGTGACTCAGAGTTCTTTGACTTTGGTAGCACTACTTTAAATCTCTTTTTCTAAGGGGGCCCTCTTCGCTCTTTCAACTATAGGAGTAAAACTTTATAAAAGAAGTTAGCAAATGTGATACCTTGGTTTAGTAAATGTGGCCAAGACCATCGCGTTCATTTACATAAGGTATAAATTCCTTTTTCCTATACATTTATTTCTATTAAAACAAATTACTCTAACTCAAACTAATTTTCATCTGCGGGGTTTTGGGGTTTTGGGGTTTTGGGG